AAGTTCTATGTCAACTTCGTTTTTCATTGTATTCTTGGTGCAAAAACACAGGGACTTCCAAAGCATTGTTTTTTTATTTGCAACAAAAAAAGCAAATGCGAAACACTAGATTGGCGGTTGTTTACAGCGCACTGACTTCAAGACCGTCTTCCTTGGAGTCTGTGTTTTTTTACTCCACCCTTGCATTTTCTAGTCTTGATGACTACTCAAAGCGCTTTACAGTAAATCTTTTGCTACTCACCCATTCACACATACAGTGCATCTATGAGAATGGCACAGACGTCATCTCGCCACTTCGGCATGCAGAATGGGAAAGACTGGGATCAAACCACCAACTAGGGCTGCATGATATTTTAAAAATGTATATACATTCGTATTTACAGACAACTGCTTCAAATGTGGACCAATCAATGTTTGAACTCGTTGGCTCTGTCAGCACGTCAGCTGGTCAGAAACCAAAAGGAAACCAGGATCTCTCCTCTCGCTGTGAACTCCTGGTTTGAGAGAGTTGGAGTTTTTGGGCCAGCGTACATTAGCTAGTTACATTTTTTACCTTGATTTGGGCATACAGGGATGGATGATGATCTCGAGGATGTTGCAACATGTTTGATGAGTTGGAAACTTTGGACGTCACTTTTTGCTTATAGTTATGCAGATTTTATATCCATCTTCTTTGCCGTGCATTTTTAGATATCCAAAATGCTCCCACACTGCAGATTTAAGGCTTTGTTTTTGTGGAAATAAGGCCCGTACGTTAGTTCCCTCTTCTCAACTACCATTTCAGTTGAGTGGCTCATACGAAGAGCACTGCACACACACAAAATGTGAATCACAAGAGGAGATTTCACTGCACGGTGTTATGAAACCGCGGTTATTGTAAAATTCCTAGGTGAGAGTCTATGTTTACTTATAAAACTAGTATTCTAAATCTATTCATTAAAATAGCAGGCAACACAAAAAAATCCTCCCAACCTTTCCAGAGCCGCACACATCCATCATCCCCAGAGGAGGCCAGCAGGGTGCTGGTGATGTTCCAGCTCACACGCCACACTTGGGAGTTGTGGTTGTCAAACTGAGCCATAATCTGCACTTCAAACTTGGTGGGTCCTGTAGAGGTGCTGTCCTTTCTGTCAGACGGATCAAAGATTTTTTTTTCTTTTAATCTAAAAAATCAGTTTCATGTAACTGACATGTAAAAGGCAGGTTTTAAGCAATGACACAACAACCTCTATGTTTTAGTCCTTCATATGACAACTTTGACAATAAACAGAGAAAAAACTGAATCTATCACCTCATCGGAACAAGCTTAAAGATTCTGACATCTTTCGTTGCTATGGCAAGGACGTGGAAAGATCTTCCCAGGTTTGGAGCAAATGCAATATCATGGACTGCATCAGTGACGGTCATCAGTGTCTCTGCTTTAGCATATTTCCTTTTAAACATTGATAAATAAAAAAAACATTACATTTAATGAAAAGATTTTTTGTTTATAATGGTTTACTTCAAAAGTGGCAAACGGAACACTACAGGACACATACCTTGTATTTTCATTGTACTCATAGATCTGAACTTTCCCACCGTATGACACGTTGCTGTCGTCACTCCCCACTGCAAACATTGGCGGATGGGCACGAGAGCTGGGTGGTAGGGAGAAAAATAAATAAATATTACGGTGTTCAACCTACAATGCTCAAATTTAAAATTCAATGCTGTCTTATAAAGGGGTATTGGAGATGGTACACTGGTTGATTTTATAACATGTTACGACCAAAACACATTCATGATTAATAAAAGAGGTCAACTGTTTAGAAAAATGCACTTTTTGCCACCACTGGGATATCAAAAGTGGATTTTGACATGCCCTAACACACCTGTACCTCATTAAACTTGAGCCCTAAATATTCACAAATGTGTTTTCCATGAGTTCTAATCCACACTTAAATACCAGGTTAACCCATTTACCAGCTGAAGACTCTATACAGCAACCCATAAATATAACTCTTAAATACAGGACTTTTTTCTGCTGGGAAAACAGCAAGTCTATAAAATTCCTTCCTGTTACAGTTGATCTGATCTTTTCTCTGCTCATTGATTTGTTTGTAACCACCGCCACAATATCACTGATCACCACATAATGATCAATACTTTCCTTAAATAGGTTTACAGAAATGATATACGTGTTTATTTGCATATAGGGTGGGGAAGAGAGATCCGATCACGAGACACATGTGAGGCCACATGTTAATACCAGGTGTGAATGCTCGCAGAGCTGTCGACTCGTGATCGGATGAAGAATGTGTGTACAAGCCTATGGGGCCTGAGTGGAGCTGAAAAAAGTGCCTCAAAACTTGACACACAAACATGACCATATCTGTGCATATATATTCAACAGTCTAGAGTGTCGCAAATATTGTTAAACATGTGTGTACACAAGAAGCTTTTCAAAAGAAACGGGAAAAATGCAGAAACCTCCGAGAGCCACATGTGAGGGATCCCTCTCCCAGGACGGACAGAAGTGCAATATTATATGTATATATATATACACACACACATTGCAGACACTGCATTGTCACAGCATTTTTGCTGCAAAGTGAAGTTGCGTTTTAACCTGGAGGGATTCCAAGAGATGCAGCTGCAGCTGAGCTTGCAGGAGATCTCGTGCTGCAGGGACCATTGACTCAGGTTCATCACATCAGGAGCCTCGTAAATCCTCACCACTCCATCCGCAGAGCAGGTGGTCAACATCAGGCCCATGTGTTTGGGGGCAAATTTCACATCTGTCACTGAAGTTCTACTGTCCACTAGTGTGGTTCTTTTTATCTAAATAGGAGTAATGTGAAATACTTGAGTCAGAGCTTCCATGAAAAACAAAGAACTTTGGCAAAGAAAGTTGATGATCATCCCTGTTATAACTGCAACATACAGAGCAGAATCTGGTGGTACAGTTTTACTCACCCAGTGGCTCAATCCTCTCTGTTTGTCATTGGATTCGCCTACAATCTCTTCCCACACAGCAGCTGTCCTGTCAAAGGAGCAGGAAGCCAGAACCTGCCCAAATTCTGGATGAGCCCAGGTAACTCTCCACACTGAACCGCTGTGTGTCTGAGGAAAAGAGAATAGAGAGTCTCTCAAATCACTGAACTCCCAAAAATAATATTGTCAAATTTGTATATAGTAATTCATTTATTTGTATTTCGTAATTTATCTTGTTTTCACTTATACTTGTACTTCATATTCTTCACTTTTTATGCTTGTTTGATTATCTTGCTGTTGCAACGCTGTTAATTTCTCAATCTTGGCACAATAAAGGAATTTCTGATTCTGATTCCGATGTGCACAGTTTGCTTTGTGTCACGCTGTTGTTTGTTTCATAGGTCTTGGTTTTGAAGGGGGGGGTGAAACTGAATTTCCCCAATCCAGGACAATAAACTCACTAGTTCAAGCTGTAACCGTAAGCAAGACAAGATAAATCAAAAGAAGAAAATTATGCAAATGTATTTAGCTTTTATTGGATTATATATTATTTTAGCCATAAGCTTTTACAGGTTAAAAGTGATTAAGCAGCAGGTGGTTTACCTTCCAGCTGGCTGTGCAGTGCCACGCTCCATTTTCACTTTTGTCCCAAACCTGAGAGGAATAAGATCACAATGTAAACAAGAGTAGCACTGAAGTAGGTTTGTTCAACACTCACTGGCATAACTGGAAAGTAATAAGGTCTTCACGTTGTGATCCTGAACTGATCAGATAACAACTTCTTAGTCACATGTGTACTATTCATACAGGGGAGTTCCATGTTGTTCTTCCATGCTAACTCTGAAAAGATTACATACAACTACAATACAACTTCCCCACAGCGTCACTAGCTAATATGCTACTAACAAAATGTCAACCAACCTAAGCTAAATACAACAAGATAAAACTGCATATAAACGTCAGAATTAGCAAAAGTAGTGAATATAACTTTACGTCTGGTGGGAGATAAAAGTAAATTCAGTGATGAGCTCAGAGCGCTTGTAATGAGGCTAATGTTAACTAACTAGCGATGACAGCTAACGCTAACGTTAGCAAAGTGATGCTCCGCGTAACTTACCTTAACACTTTGGTCACTGGAGCACGTTGCCATTCTCCGGCCGTGGAAATCATACGACACATCGTGGATCAGATCTCTATGATCTGCAGCGATACTACGCGCTACAAACATGATTACGACAACAGTGCTAACAACACTGGCTAGGCAATTCAGCTAGCAGGCCTGTGGTGTGCATACAGTCTATGATCTATATGAGTGTATGTGTGTGTGTGTTTGGCGGGTCCTCGTAGTGTGTGAATGTGTGTGATAGCAGTGAGTGTGTGCTCCCATGTTGACCACAGAGGGGCGCATCACACCAACTGTAAACGCATATTTTGAGTTACTTGTCCCGGATAAACAAACTCGTATAATCCAAAAACTGTATTTAAATTAATTTAAGATACCAGGTTCTTAAAAAGAATAAACACAGCTATCATAATATAAATCAGGTAGCAAGTAGCATCGTTATGTTACATTGGGCCGGGGTTGCCAGGTTTAGTGGAATATTTACACTGAATGTTTACTGACATTTACGTTAACCACTCACAGAAATATTTGTGACATATTTATTTCGTATTTTATGCTGATTTATTTGTTGTTTTAATGTTCTCTGCTGTTCAGCAAATGTCACATTTTTCATTTTTTGATTTATATATTGTTTTAGATAGCTTCACTGACTAGCTATAAGATAATTCAAATTACGTTTACTGCAAATATCAAGATTCAAGATCCAAAACCGTCCAATTTAATGGAAATGTATATTTCACTGGTGTATAAATATTATACACTACATAAGAAAACACAACCTGGAATAAAATTACAAAACGCTGTATGGTAACAGTAGTACAATATTGATGTACAAATTCATATAATAAAATAACCACACAGCAGAGTAGAGAGACTTGAGTTATTTCATGCGGTCAGATGCATAACTGGCAACCCTAGTCAGTCAGAGTGCATGCAGCACTGTGCAGAAGCAGCAGACTTCCCGCAGGGATCCCGGGACTAAACACACTGTTGTCTAGATGGCTGACAGAAAGGAGTAACTTAACGAACAGTGCTGCAAACTCTCCGTGGTCATTCACAAAGTGTCTCGGGTAACAAACGGTGACATTATGGAGCAGGAATTTGAAGACATCGATTCGTCAGGGAGATGGCAGAACCTTTACAATGTAAGTCCGGACACAGGGCCTCTCGTGTTTCTATGACGATCAGTTGCTAACTTACTTAGCTAGCTAAGTTGGTAGCCAGTCGGTTGGACGCCTTTTTAATCGGTATATTGTAACTTTTAGCTTCATGGGGGAAACATTCCAGCGTGTCAATTTAAAGACCACAACACATGTTCATGTTGTATTTGGGGATAAGCACATAGCAAAAAAGAAGTGGGAAACTGGCAGTCCGCGTTCCCAGCGGCTTACTTCCGTAGCTACAAAGCCTGTCGATACAAAACGTGCAGTGGCACAGTCTTCATAGTTGAGCTCAGTTAGCTAATGCTCGCTACGCTAGCAGACGTCAGCTGCAGTTTCTGAGAATTCATGAGGACTTCCAGAGAAAGCGCATGTGCTCTACCGCCAGCTGTTCAGAAGGACCCAATTTTTAACGTTTCTGTTGAACTCGGGCCCTGACCTGAAGATATTTCCAGACCACCAGTTAATCTGTTCCGAAGTAACTGAAGCCCAGTTATGCTACAGCATAAAGCATCAATTTATACGTTAATATTTATTATGTAACGTGTTAATGTAGCCAAATAACTCAAAGGAGAAGTCGAAAGTTAAATCGAAACACATTTCTCATAGTTAAATTTGTAGTAGTCTGAGAAGTGGATTTTTTTCACACATGTCTTACTGTTGAAACAATTCTGATGCATGATGAAAGTTTGCTTGCTTAGTGGAGCAGTTTGTGATGCTGTGTCTATTAGAAAGAAAGAGATAACAAAGTTGCCGTCCAACAGAGGCTGGGAGATCATCTTTAGCAGCATCCTGTATACACAATGGAAAACAATTATTGTCAAAACAATAAGATAGGACAATATAATATAGTAGTTAGTAGTAAACAAATGAAAGCAAAGCAGAACAGTACATGTCAGCACAGATGACACAAATTACATACTGTATAAGAGACCTCTTATTTCTCAGCTTGATAATTAAATGAATGTTATCTCTGTTACTTGTCAGGCAGGAGGCATATGATCATTTGTATGCATGAGTGTATGTGTATATATGTCTCTCATTGACGTTGCTGACATGAAGAGAAAATACTAACTGTCAGTTTGTTTTCTTATATCCAACAGGAGATCCGTAACCAAGCCAGCGAATATCCTTACAAAGTTGCAAAACTCCAAGTGAATCGGAATTTGAACCGCTACAGAGACGTCAGCCCATGTGAGTCTTATGATAAATTAGGTTTTTAATGAAAGTTTTGATTATTGCAAATGATGTCTAATTTTTCTGTGATCTCTCATCTGCTTTCAGATGATCACAGTCGAGTAAAACTTGAAAACGCGGAAAATGACTACATTAATGCAAGTTTAGTTATGATGGAAGAAGCCCAAAGAGCTTACATTCTGTCTCAGGTATGGTGCCAGATAGACACTTTAAATTACACTATCTGTATGAATATACAGTAGATTGAAGAAGCCTGTGGATCACTTAGGATAAGGATAAGCAGGATGTCACTTTAATGTTCAGTGATCTTTTTGTTATCTACTTTTTCTTTCTTGTGCATCTTCAGGGGCCTTTGAGGAATACTTGTGGTCATTTCTGGCTGATGGTTTGGGAGCAGTGTAGCAAAGCTGTTATAATGCTCAACAGAGTCATTGAAAAGGGATCTGTGAGTACACTTTGCTACCTGCTAATCATTCATTTATCACATTCACCTTTCTGTTTTATATAAAAGTTGTGGATGACTTGTTTCAGGGTGTCAGATTGACACCAACAATAGCTCTAAAAGTTTCTACAATACAGAGCACTTAGCATACATATTCAATGTTAATTTCTGTAGGAAGTATGCTTTTTTGCTTTCTCACTGAGAGATAAATGAGAAGAAAAACATCACTCTTGTGTTGGTCCATTCTACAGTATTTGAAACTAGAGCCAGCCGCCAGAGTTTGCTTAAATTAGCTCAGTATAAAGACTGGAAACTGGGATGAAAAGCTAGCCTGACTCTGTCTAAAGGTCACATTAAAAAAACCAAAAAACATGTTATATTTATTATTGAAGATGGGAATTGTGGGTTGGAGTACTTCTTCCGGCTATGGTGTCAGCAAGAAAACAAAAAAATTGAATTGAAATGTTGAATTTTCCCTTTAAATCTGGTTTGCCTTGGCAACACTAAAATCAAATTTGCAGTAATGTTAATCAGGTTCATTGACAAATTATTAAAAATTCATATATATCATAACATATCCTGATCACTGATGCTACACTAACAATGGAAGATTAGAGAAATGGAACCTGCTAATTTTCTAAAATGTATGCATCTGAACATACTGTACTGTAACTTAAAAAGACGAAATTCCCATCTTATGTTACACTAATGTTACACTGCTAATTTGTTAAGTATTTTAAGATGTATTTCTTGCATGAAAGGTGCTATACAAATAAAGTTTATTATTGTCGAAGACAAAAATGTAATACTTATTCTAGTTTTATTTTTAACAACATCAGAAATGGAATAGCAAACTTATCAACATTAACAATAGCAATTAAACCCAAATATAAAGCTTGAACACCATTGCTACTTTCAAAAATTTCAGATGGCTGTATTTACCTCATGACCTCTCAGCCCTATTGCATTCTAAGCACTGTTTAGGACTATGACTGGTGGAAACAAGCTACCAATGACTATGTAGCGTAGTAATACAGTAATAATTTAGAGGAAGAGTGACATAATCATGTCTTGTTGCTATGCACAGCACATTTCTCTAAACTGACAAAGGTATTTTGGTATTAATAAAGAGTGATGCACTAAATGCAGTGCTTCAGTCATTACACCTTTCATGTGTCTTCCTATCCAAAACCGATTTAACTGATTCTGTCATTGCAGGAAAAGTGTGCACAGTACTGGCCCACCTCAGAGGAGCTACAGATGTCTTTTACAGACACAGGCTTTGTTGTCAGGCTACTTTCAGAGGAGGACCAGTCCTATTTCACAATCCGATTGCTGGAACTGCAAAACACAAAGGTGAGCATGAGAAGAAAGAGTTCAATAATGTAAATGTTTTAGAATCTGGATTGGTCAAAGAATTTGGCAGGTGAGAAGTTCACAAACAATTCCAGTCCAGCACTAAGATAATTAAGTTAAGTTGGAGCTAAACATTCCGACCATTACTTAACCAGTTCTCCACAGGGCTCCAGACTAACTTTTTCCATTGGTCGCACTGTTGCGCCTAACCTTTTCATTTAGGTGCTCCAGGATATAAATCAGATGCACCTACAATTGATCACTGTGCCCTCTGGCATTGCAAAAATACACACATTATACCTTTCCTCGACAGTTCACATTTACATTTGTGATTTCTTAACTGGCTAGGTATCTCCACTGATTTCCCAAAATAATTTGATTCCAATTCACAGGGTCTAGATTTGATTCGATATCGATTCAGTTAAGGATATTTCATCGTACAATAGTAATTCTGCTTGGATGTAAAATAGATTCTCAGAGAACTTAAGCTCTTAACAGTTAAAAGGATGGATGGTTGTGATTTACATGAGATTATAGCTATGTATTTTATTAAGTTAGTATTCTAGCATTTCCTCAAGGAGTGTCTGTGTGTTTGTGTTTCTGCCCTTCTCAGTCACTCTTCACACACAAACTGACTATCACATTTATTTAGTTATTAATAGATGATGTCGGATCATGAATCTGGATCGTTCCAGTCACTTAAACACTGATGTCCTGACCGTGCACGTCTCATGTTGTGTGTGTTGTGCTCGCACTAAATGTTGGACTTTTTAAAAATGTGTTTAAATAACACAAACTCATAACATAAACTCTGGAGTAAATCAAACAAATACAAAGTAGACTTCAGTACTGTTCAGATTCTAATAACTTGTGATAGGTTTTGGTGTTGATTGTTGAAGTGTTAAGTGAGCGCAGGTATGCAGGGAGGACACAGAGACAGGACACTCTGACCCGGTACAAACAAGCTGCTGCTTCTGCTCTGATCCTGAAGCCGTGGCACTAATCGTTTTGCATTAGTTGTTCGTTGTGGAAACCATGTATAAAACATGTTTTTGGCCACTGTTTGAAAAATACATCTCTCATATCTCTTCTTCACTGTCTGTTGTCGGAGTGAGTGTGTGGGGGCGGGGCTTGCCCAGGTGTGGGTGTAAACTCTGCAGAGGAGATAAGAGAGAGGTGTTACTCTTTGATCAAATACAGAGACAGACCAGCTCAATGTGTAGTGCACCGGTGCGACCAAGGAAAATGTTTAGTTGCACTTCACAGATTTTTGGTTGCACATGTGACCTGCCCCAGCATTTAAGTCTAAATGTGAAGGAATAATAAATACTGTGATTTCATGTTTTATGTGTGTGATGTTTTCTTGTGTCAAATCACCCCAGTCATTCAGAACTCTCTATGCCATTCTGCCATCATGCTCAACATCATATGCTTTCTGTCACAGACAGGGGAGTCGAGGGAGGTCTACCACTTTCATTACACAACATGGCCTGACTTTGGTGTCCCAGAATCTCCTGCCTCTTTCCTCAACTTCCTCCTCAAGGTTCGGGAATCTGGCTCGCTGAGTCCAGAGCACGGGCCCTCAGTGGTGCACTGCAGTGCTGGCATTGGACGCTCTGGGACCTTTGCCTTGGTGGACACCTCCCTGGTCCTGGTGAGAGCTGGGAGGGTCAACTTCACCAAATGCAGCCAACCTTACAGAGAAACATTACCAGAGTTAAAACGCTACTCAAGAGAGTAAGATGAGATGCTTATATAATTACTTTATACTGAGTAAAAGATGAAGAGGGAGAAGTTGAGGTATGTTAATGCTCTGCTAAAAAGCATAAAACATACACACACAACATAACTCTTAACTTCCTGCAATACTATGTAGGTCTGGATAGATTGAAAATAATATGTAGGTTCTTACGTCTTGATGCATTTTAAAATTTAAAAGAAAAGTCAAAAAGTTTGGAAATACTGATTGTTCTTGTATTGGCCTAAAAGTACACATTTTCTGTGGTCACATTTGAATATCCACAATATGATACTCTGCAGCTGATAAGGCAAGATGACCATTAATACATACAAGTCTTGATATAACAGTACTGGATATTTGTCAAAATCATCAAATTAAGAGATTTGGATCTGGATGAAGTATAGAATTTAAAATTGTAAACAGACCAATAACAATACAGCAATGTAAACATACTTCAATACAAGTCCTGCACTCAAAATCCTGCTAAACCAAAACTGTTCAAGTCAAAGTACCAAAGTAAAAGTTCATAGAAAGTGGCCGATACCATATTATATTATTTATAATATCATTATAGTCATGAATGCACTGTTTTCTAGATCGATAATGTCAATAACATTCAGTCTGCCGCTGCTGCCGCTGCTGCTGCTGCTGCTGCTGCTGCTATAGAGCCCTGGTTGCCTGTCTATTACATTCATTTTGAGTCCAAATCACACCAAATGTGACGGCATATCTTTGGGCCTTTAATACACCTGCCAAGTGTGAAGGCAATAAGATCAACGGTTCTTGAATGCCACATTAAAAAAAAAACGGAAAGATTTCTAGAATTTGTACATAGTATTTGTATTAGACTCTTTGTTATGTATCAAAAGACAAGTTGTTTTTATTAACATTTTAAGTTTTAATATTTGATCCAAAAAATGAAAAATGAAAATTCACTCATTATCTAATCACCACTATGCCGATGGAGGGGTGGGTGAAGTGTTTGAGTTCACAAAACTATGCAGGTTTTTTTCCTATATTTATTCAAGACTTAAATAGCCTGTTTGCACTTACTTTTGCTCTCTCAAACTGTGTGCTTGCACTCAGATTAATTGTTGCTCACACGGATTTCCTGCGCTCCATTGGTTGGGGAATTTTGCGAGGGTTGTAGCACAGAAAAATCCAAGAGATGAGGAGAAATCTGAGCGCAGACGATTCACAAGCGCACAGAAAGCTGCCCCAGTGTGGAGAAGGGCTGAAGCTGGAATGGAGGGAATCAGTGCAAGCAACAATATATCTGAGTGCAAGCACAGTTTGAGCAGAAGCAGAGCAAATTTAAGTGCAAAGGCAGGGTTTTAATGAAAAGTAATACACAATCTGAACATAAATTCAACAAGTCATGCGCTCGAACTGAAAGACCACGCTCATGAATAAATATAGGAAAAAACCTCCATTCAAAACACTTCTGAAGTCTCAGGGGAAAACAGTGATTTAGCCAAACCCAATAGAATTCAATTGTGACCCCTTCTTCAGACATTATAAAACAACAGAAAAAACACAACATGCCTTGATACTGCTTGTGTGGTATCATGCTAGTGTCTGCAAGCCCCAACATTTATATTTGACTTGAAAAAGCGTCATTTACACCATGTTTTTGGTCTAAATGTTTGTTGATATCCTCCTCAGATGTGCGTTCACATACCCTCGGGCAAACGGGACACCGCACACACACTTGCCTAAGGCCACGCACAGGGTGCGTGTTCGTGTACAGGGTGCTTCATCCACTAGCTTCGCCACTTCCTGTAGTGGACTATATGGCTTAAAACACGGTGTAAATGACGCTGTTTCCAGTCGAATATGAATGTTGGGGCTTGTGGACACTTGGGTGACACCACACGAGCAGTATGGATGCATGCTGTGTTTTCTTTTTGTTGTTTTGTTACATCTAAAGAAGAGGCATCACTGTTTACCCCTGAGACTCCTAAGCTGTTTCTGTGAACTATCCCTTTAATCTGTCTGTTAGTCTTTTGGTATCAAGTAAAAACTTGTTTTCTTCTCAACATGTTTATCTGGTTTGCAGATGGACAGGTGTAAGAGTCGGTCATCAGTGGACATACAGAAGGTGCTGCTGGACATGAGGGAATATCGTATGGGTCTGATCCAGACCCCTGACCAGCTCCGCTTTTCCTACATGGCAGTCATAGAGGGAGCCAAGATCATTCTGACGGATAACTCACCCATACAGGTAGCCCAGTAAAAAGAATTTTAAATTATATATTTTTTAGTTATCAACTGTTACAAAAAAGCTTTGTTGTTACAGTGCAGCTAAAGAGAGGATTTCAATTAAATACATCTTTGTTTGTTTTTCAACAATCTGTATCTTTAATTAATTTGAGTCTTTCCATAAATTGAAGAACTTGTGAGAGAAAACGTGTTTGTGTCCCGTTCCCTGTAGCAAAACAAGCAGAGACTACTATCTAGATCTGCCCCCTCTTTGGAGTCAGATCTGCCCCCTCCGCCACCTCCACCTAGACCTCACCTCAATGACAGCAGGCCCAATGGCCAGCCAACATCTTATATGGAGCCACAGGCCGCCTCAGGAGACAACCTGCTGCCAACAGAACCAGACAGCCATGACCACAATGTGGAAGACCTCTCTGGGCAGTAAGTAATACAGCTCTGGACTTCTTGAATTTAATTTTGTCAAGTCATTTGTGGAGAAAAGACACAGTTGTAGAAAATGTTGTTGTTGGTTTGGACTCCTCATTGTACACAGTGTTACCACCCAAGCACACTACAAAAGCTTCATTCTAATCTCTGCACCTTGAGACAACTTTTGGACCCCAGAAATTCAGATTCTAGACCTCCTCTCCTTCTAACAGGTTCATTTGTCACTCTTATGTAATAATTGAATAATCCGGCATGTAGTGCTTTTGTGGGGATGTGCTTTTCACCCTGTTCTTTGCTGACCACTTCCTCTTGACTGCCGTTTATTTTAGTCTCAGAAAGCGACACCGTGAGGAGAGGATTGCCAGCACTGCACAGAAGGTCCTGCAGATGAAACAGAGACTGACCGACTCAGAGAGAAAGCAAGAGAAGTGGCTGTACTGGAGGCCCGTGCTGCTCAACGTCGGTGCTGGGGCAGCTTTGGCTGTCAGCCTACTGGTTTGCTGGATGTACTCCCAGTGAAACACTCGGGGTTACTTAAAACTGACTTATTTTGCACCAGTACCTGGGGTTAGGTACTTCTCTAAGCAGATTTAGATGATAAGATGTGCATATCCGAGGGTATTTATTTCTTTAAGGTCAAAATGCGGGAGCGCTAGATCAAATGAGCGTGTGTATATTTTTCATGTAACATCTAAACAAAAATAGTAACATCTCAGGATCTCGTTGCCAGCACGATGATTTTATTTTCCTTTCCTCTTTGTCACTGTTGATGAATGTACTGTATCATAGCAAATTGCTTTGAAAGAAACCTACTTGAGGTGCAGTAAAAAGACAAAAAAAATTATTCTGAAAGATTTATTTTTGCATTCTTTATTTGCTATAGTCAGATGTGTGTTGATCATCTGTGGACATGTTTTAACATTCTGCATTTCAAAAGGAGTTCTGTTGACTGTTTATCCTACCATAGATATGTTGGATGATTCCTTTTCCTTGACATTTGCCAAGGGAGTTTTATTTTCCTGTAAGAGAATTCACATTTCATGCATGCATTTAAAGGTTCACCAGAACACCACCTGTTCTTCCATTTACATTAAGCAGATAATTGCAATATGTTTCAGACTCTGCTAGAATGTTCACCTTTCATTTTCTGTTAAACAAGCACATGTTTCCTTTCAGTTTTTGTTTTCACATGGGTCATAGTGACTATCAATACCTTCACAGCTTAATGTGTGTATTCACCCACTGGATGGGTTCATGTTTGTTCAGGTTATCCCACTTTAGGAAACCAAAGCAAAGCTGTCCAGTTTTATTAAAATACCAGCCAAGCAAGCTGTTTATTTGTACTCCCTTTATGTGTAATGTGTTTTCTATTGGATCTTTGACATAACTGACACCTGCATTGCAAAATTATATTGGTCACAGCACCTTTGCATTGCATGTGACTTTTTAATTTGAACCCATGATCTAGCCGAGTTTTCAATTGACTGGGACCAATGTAAAGCTATAATAGTGCTATTTAGGAGTTCTAAAGGAGTTGGAGCAGAGCACCTTGGATTGAATTCTAAGTTAGGTGAGAGTGATGGCAAACATGTCTTTATCTATTGGTTTGCTGGTTTGAGATAGCTTTAAATGTGCCTTGAAGTTAGCAAAATGTGTGCTCCAAGTTTCTTTAGCATGATAAGTACAGAAAATGGTTTATGTGAGCTGTTGTTTCAACATTACACTAACTGTTTTGCAGTAGCCAGAGGTGTGATGTAATAAATTGTATTGGAGGTGATTGCACACCAAATGTGACATTAGAATGTCCTGACTCCTGAGATGTAATGATGTGTTGGCGATTGGCTGGTTTGGACATTGGCACTGTTTGGACTTCAGTTTGACTCAGTGTTCATTTAGACCAGAAAAGATCAGTTTGACCATAACATTCCATTCATTCTTGTTTTCCTTTAAAATTTTCAGGGGAGATTTGTACATCGCTGAGCTGCAATGAGAACATGACATATGTTGTGTTGAGAAAAGAAAACATGAAATGCAGATTAAAATAAAACTGTAATCTTTTTTTAAACCAAAGTCTGCTTGTCTGTGTGTATTTTTCCTTTAATTCTGTGTCAGGAAAGCTGACAAGCAGCTCCATTGTCCACCCACAGCTCACCCCAGTTCCCATCCTTCCATAATTGCATTCTGGCCATGAGCTAGATCAATGCAGTCAGACTGAAGGTCTCTCACTGTGGATTCCAGGAATTGATTCAATATTTCAAGAAGAGGCTTTGCTCATATTGATCACATCAGTAATTTTATTTTCTCTTTTCTGCAGTGGTGTGTTTGTGGAGGAGGAACTACCAGTTGTGCCTGTACCTTCTTGAACGCTATAGAAATTATAACCATATAACCATTATGTTTGAATGATTTATAGTATTAGGTTGATTTCACATAAATACTGAGACAGGTACATTGATCTTATAGGTCTATTGATAAATACTACAAATCATACTACAATTGGGTCCTGTATTGGTTGTCGCCATAGGTTGTCGCAGACGACACGTAGGTAGCCAATACAAACCCTGAATGAAAAGGACAAATAATTCTTGAAATAAAATATATAAAAAGAAGATTAACCCTCACATCCCCATTGTGGTGTTCCTTATAGTGAATATTTTTGTGTTCTCGGGCAGGCTTGTTCATGAATTTAATTTAATCGGAGACTATAGTCAGGCATCTGGACCGCTTTATTGACATTAGCGTTTCCGCCACAGTTTAAACTGACAGACAGACGAGAGCCTTGGCGTAGTTACAGACAACTAATGTGTATACAAATATCAGATCGAGCTCAAATAGCACAAACACGTTTGTTAATTGTTCCTGATAGCGCCCTTCTGCTAACGTCTCTAGCCGTTGGACTGTAAAGCCAGCCAGAGTTCGTCGTGAGCAGTGATGTCTCTGCCTCCAGAGAAAGTTTCCGAGCTGAAGCAAATCATTCACAACCATCTGCTCAAGGTGAGCAGCGTAAGCTGTTATTTCCACTCATGTTAGTTCAATTGATTATGATTGTATGTTAACTTATTGTCTGGTGTGCACACAGTGAGATAGCACTACTTAAACAAGGGATATATTCATCATGGATATATGTTAGTATTACCTTTGTTGTTTTCAGACCCCAGCAGCAAAGCACCACCAGTTTATGCTTCACTATACTTTCTGTGTCCTACTAATGACTTTTAAAGGACCGGTGTGTCTGGCCTACACAGACTGATCTCTGACACAGTCTTTTTTGTGTATGTTTGTCTGAACTTGTGCAAAAACTAGTGCAGTGCCTGTTCTAAACCTTGGAATGTGCTTATCGTGTGTCCAAATCACACCAAACTTGGCACTGCACTTCTCTGGACCAGTTAGAATACACATATCAAGTGTGAAGCCAATAAGTTGCACATTTTGCAAGATATGTGCTCCACATACAGACAGACAGAGATACATTTTTAGAATTAGTAGGTCGATTGAAATGAAGATGATGCAGATGATAGGATTGTATTATCACACAACTTCATGTTTAAGTATTTACCTGACAGCTTTAACTCATTGATGCAGACCTATTTATGCAGTTATCTAAGACGGTGTTTGAAAATATTGTTGATGGGCAACTCTCATGCAGATTTTCAAGATATAAGAGCAATGCTACATTTTCCCAATCACTTCCTCCAACACAGTGAAGATGGATGAGAATGAGGAACACACACAAATGGGTGGCAAAGATGTGGAAAGCCAAAGCTACATGATTATCTTACAATAGTGAGGGAGTCCATCTTAATCAGATGTCATCATAACAAGTGATGATTATAAGGCCTGTAGTTACCATGAAATGTCTCTTTGTGATCTTTGTTGAGGCAGCGTTAATGAGAAAGAGGTGTTAAATCTGTGTATTTTCTTTGTTTGTTTTTTTTGGTTATCAGAGTGGTATACGTGGGAAGATCCGCGAGGTGCTGGCTGAGAATGTGAGGGATGATCAAGGGCAATCACATCAATCTCTGTCTGAGGCCGATTTTCTAAGTGCTCTGCAGAACAGGGGTATAATAGATGATGTAATGAAGGACCTACACTTTTACCAGGTAGAATGACCGTTTGCCAGCAGCTTTGAATACTTCATGATTAGATCGAGAAATAGACCTATTTTCCAGATGTATGTCAAAAACAAATATTTGCATAGATTTCTGAATTTGACTTTGGTCACATGCTTACTGTTCTGCACTAACTGTTGTTGTGTCTGCTTTTTAATAGGAGGCACCCATGGATGCAAAAAATGGATCTCCTCCCAAGCATGCTCCAGACTTTGTCAACAAAGAAATCACTCAGCCGAAGAAATGTAAAAAACGTAATTTACCAATGCAAGTAAATCAACAGCATACAAGCAAAAATACTTGTAGAGTTCGAAGGTTATACAGCGCAGACTTTATTCTTTGAGCTGAGCTTTTGGCACTTATAATAATAATAATGATGATAATAACCTCTATTTATATAGCACTTTTTACAAACAGAGTTTACAAAGTGCTTTGACAACAAAGCATGAAAGTAAATTAATACTTGAACACGTAAAAGAAGTAACATGATAATAAAAATAAGTAATAAAGTAAAAGAAAAGTAAAAAGAAAAAAAAAATCCCAGTATAACATGAAAGCAAATCTATAAAAATGGGTTTTAAGAAGTGATTTAAAAGAATTCACTGACCCTGCGAGCCTTATCTCTTCAGGTGGGCCATTTCAAAGCCGAGGGGCCCTGATGGCAAAGGCACTGTCACCTTTTGTTTTCAATCTCGACTTTGGAACAGCAAGCAGGGCTCCACCTGAGGATGTACAGCTGCGTGCAGGCACATAAGGGGTCTAAGGGGGGTTCTGTGATGTAGCTTGGGGTCAAACCCTGGTGTGATTTAAAAGTGATCAGAAGAATCTTAAAATCAATTCTAAAACAGACAAGGAGCCAATTAAGAGAAGGAAGGATCGGGTGATTTTGCCTTTAAAGAGCAGTGAGAAGCCGAGCTGCTGTGTTCTGAGCTAGTTGGAGGTGGGAGAGTGACTTATTACTTTGACTTATGCCAGAGAGGAGGGGGTTACAGGAGTATAGTGTAGAGAAGAAGAGAGCATGGATTAATTTTTGGTGTGAAAGGTTTGATTTTAGAGATGGTTCTGATTTGTAGGAAGCAGGACTGAACTACTTTTTTAATTTGTGGTTTGAAAGTGAGGGATTGGTGAAACAGAACTTCTAGGTTTCTGGCAACAGGCTTTACACTGACTGACCAGGTACCAAGGCTGCGTTCAATCTGCATGATGGGGTTAGGTGGGTTGAATAACATTATTTCTGACTTTGAGTTGTTGAATTGTCATCCAACTGTTGACATCATTAAGATAGTCTAACACAGCAGTTAGGCTTTCAGTGTCATCAGGTCTCAGCGGAAGGTATATCTGTGTCATCTGCATAGTAGTGAAAGGAGATGTTATAGTGTTGGATGATTTGGCCAAGAGGAAGCATATAAATAGAAAATATAATTGGACCTAAAATGTAACCTTGTGGTACATCACAGGTAAAGTTTGTTTTAGAGGATGTGCACCAGGGTGTATGCTAAACATGTTTGTGTGTAGAGTTTTGGACTGTTTTTTCTGTGGAACTGCGCGTTTTGTTTTGCAACTCGACCGTCGTTCAGCAACACCACATTGTTTACTCCAGGGATCAGCTGATGGTGCTGAAGCCGGCCAGGTTGGCGACTGGGAAAGCGGACATCCTGGCTGAACTTTGGAGAAAAACACACCGGGGTTGCAGAGGAAAAGGATCAGTGAGGAGGAGGAAGAGAACCAGGTCCGCTAAACAACAGATATGTGGAGAAGAGGAGATATAAGCTGTATCTCCCCTCTCTCATCTCACAACATGAGATCACATGGGAACAAGATGGACAAGCTGACTGATTTTTTGGTCATATTACAATCAAGGACCGTATTTGTCACCTGCACATTGAACTGTTGGCTGTGGGACTCTGTCCAAATATCATGTTTACATGGATAAAACAAAATTCACCCAGTCACCTGCAAAACCAGAGGGGAAAGGACCCTGGACCTGCTGTATGCTATACGGTAAGGATGCATAAGGGTCTTCCTCCTTCCCCCCTCTGGGGAGATCCGATCACATGCTTCTGGTGAAAAGGCAGCCTGTGATCACAAAGACATTGAGGAGATGGTCAGAGGTGGCACTGCAGGCCTGTTTTGAGGTGACTGAATGGGATGTACTCTTTGAGCCCTGCGGACAGGACATTGATGGGCTTACAGAGTGCATCACGGATTATATAAACTGCGGACTGCAATGTCCCATCAAGGACAGTTTGCTGTTACCCAAATAACAAGCCGTAGGTAACAAGACAACAAAGCCACCCTCAACGAGAAGAAGAGGGCTTTCAGAGGTGAGGAGCAGAGGACTATTCAGAGGGAGCTGAAAATCAAGATCAAGGAGACAGAGGACAGCAACAGGAGGAAGCTGGATTGGAAACTCCAGCAGAACAACATGAGGGAGGTCTGGTGTGGAACGAAGACCATCACGGCTTCAGAACAGCTAGTGGCAGAGGAACTGAGGGCAGCTTGGAAATGACCAATGAATTTAATCTATTTTTAATAGATTTGATACAGTGGCCCCTGCCCCCCCTAACTCTTCTGCAGTCTGTTTCCAAACCCCTGCCCCTGTTGTGTTATGGATTGTGAACTACCTGAATGGTAGACCACAGTATGTGCGCTTGCAGCACTGTGTCTGACAGAGTGGTCAGTAACATCAGGGCCCCCACAGGGGATGGTCCTCTCTCCTTTCCTCTTCATGCTCTACACTATACCAGACCTGTCCTGCCAAATCCAGTTGGAGTTTTCTGATAGCTCTGCAATAGTTGGATGAATCAGCAAGTGTGAGGATGCTGAATACAGGGCTGTGGTGGGTAACTTTGTCACATGGTGTGAGCAGAACTACCTGCAGCACAACGTGACAAAGAGAAAGGAGCTGGTTGTGGATCTGAGGAGGGTCAGGACACCGGTGACCCCTATCTCCATCCAGGGGGTCAGCGTGGACAGGTTTAAATACCTGGGAGTGTTCATAGACTGTAAACTGGATTGTGCTAAGAACACTGATGCCCTCTACAAGAAGGTCCAGAGCTGCCTCTATTTCCTTAGGAGACTGAGGTCCTTCAACATTTGCCGGACTATGCTGAGGATGTTTTATGAGACTGTGGTGGCCAGTCTTCTCCTGTTTGCTGTTGTGTGCTGGGGTAGCAGGCTGAGGGTTGGGGACGCCAACAGACTCAACAAAGAGTGCATTTTGGTAGTCTCAGTCTTGCACTGAAATATCAGCACATATCCATGCTTGCACTAAATACTGAATGTACAGAACGCACATATTGTATATATTTCATGGAGCAATTGTATCAAACACAATTTCCCCCATGGATCAACAAAGTTTTTCTGATTTTGATTACATATGGTGACTGAGCAGGTTCTTTCTAAAAGGTAAAAATTAAACCAACTAAGTGCAGTGTCCTTGATACCAACCCAGGTTTTTGATGGGCATGGTCTACAGTGTCAAAGGCTGCACTTAAGTCTAGTGGGGTTAAAATTGCGCTCTCTCCTCTGTCAGCTGATTAAAGAAGGTCATTGGTTACTTTGAGGAGGGCAGTTTCTGTACTGTATGTCTGCTCTTAAACCTGATGGAAATTTCTCAAAAATGTTATTATGACATAAAAGACATTTTTTTTTATAATAATGGAAGTTAAGAGATTTACCTAAAATTCTTAAGAACCTAGGGATCAAGGTTATGTCTCTTGAAAAATGCAAAACATATTAAAAAACACTGGGACCATCTGTGTTAATAACCTCTTTGAGAAATTTGATGTGAATGATATCAAGGCTGCATGTAGTTGATTATGATTAGTTTCAAAAATAGATATGATTGTCCCCCTTCAATTTACAATGGCATTTTCTATTGTACTTACATGCCTTTTTCAGAGCTTAAAGAACAAAACAAATGACATCCTACTTTAAAGCTTAATTAAAAGTCCCAATATTGGTGGACATCAATTCAAATACACAGAAGTACTTCAAATGACAAATAGTAGTCTCTAATAATACTGAACATTATGACAGTAGAAATTCACAATATCCAATCAGAGATTTTGTGACAAAAAAAGAATCGTGCAAAATATAAATGAGAGGAATAATTAGCCAAACCTCAAAAAGGCCATGACTAACACTGATTTTATAAATTCATAAACAGCGAAAAACAGGGATTATAAAGTAACTCATGACTGAACAGTATCTATCTGATATAATATGCAGTATTTATCTATTGACCTTTTTTTAAATTCATACTCTACATGAATCCATGTTGGGTTTTGTTGTTTAACTTATTACAATAAGTTTAACTTTTTCTTTGATACAATGGTTACTCTGTTAGAAATGTATCTTTGATTCTAGCTTTTACTGCATCGAAATTCCTGCCTCAAAGTAATTCTTGTTCCCTGTATGTACGATTTTTAGGACATATTGTAAAGCTGAGCACTGCACTCTACAGTTTTGAGTGTGTTAGATATAAAATATCATTGTTAACGTGTACAAAATGAGTGATGACATTCTTTTCTTTCTCTTAGACAATATCGATCCATCAAGGTGTTACCTTTTTCTGCAAGTACTTGGTGGTAAGGCCTTTCTGGAGCACCTCCAAGAGCCTGAGCCTTTACCAGGTCAAGTGTGCTCGACGTTCACACTCTACATTCACTTCCGCAATCAGAGGTTTCACTCAAAGCCAGTGCCCTGTGCCTGTGAACCCAACCTGGAGGAGGGCTTCCTCTTGGAGATTCATAGAGATGGAAAAGGTACTTTTCAATTGGCAATGTTGATGTCATTCAGCTTCATGTGTTGCACACTGTTGCATCATGTTGCTTCAAATATTATCTGGACTGTGTTTTTAACTTTTCCCACATTTGTTTGACATGAACTGTTGTCATAGACTACTGCTTTAAACCCAGTTATGCATGTCATTGCTTTTGATTTTGCAGGAGAAAGCAATAAAATGGCAGATGCAACTGCCTTGTTGTCTGTGAGTGACCCGGTTCACTTGGTGCTGATCAAAACGGACACCACCAGTGAGACAACGCTGGTCTCATCCTACTTCCTGGACTGGAGGACAGTCCTCAGCTCACCCAGTGGAAAGACCTGCTTTGCTATAGAGCTGATGGGAGTTGGTGAGGAAAAAATATTCTGCTGCAGTGAATGCAGGATTGATAATATATACAAAAATGCATACATTTTTCTGGCGCATCATATCTATAGCTAAGAGCTAAGAATAATTAAGATTCTAGCACACATGGACAAATAAGACATAAAAAATTCAACCATAATAGTAAAATAACATTATCAGAAATGAAAACTCCTTACATTTAAAATTTTATTTGAAACAAAGAAGTCTGTCTCCTCCCTCAAAATAGATCCTGTTCTTCATTTCTTAACAATAAGCTAACCTAACTGGAATGAACCTAAATGTGAAGTGATAACAAAGAAAACAATTTCCTCTTTACGGAGACCATTAAATTTCACTGATTCTACTGCTAATGATTGTGTATGTGAATGTAGCTTTTTACACACAATTGTATAATGCATCTTTAAAATCACTGTAATAAAAAGTAACCGGCTGTTATCTCTAGAGAAACCCAACGTTACCCACAGCGACTGTGGAGAGAAAAAACACCCTCAGTAACTGGAAGAAAACCCTTGCATACCAGACTTAGTCTGAATTTGGAAGTAAAAAGTTATGAGCCATCGTCGCTGCAATGTCTTTAAGACATTCCTGAAGTTTAACTAAGTGATTTGATTCATCTGGCTTCATAGATATGTACAGCTAGGTGTCATCTGTGTAACAATGGAAATGTGGTGCTGTCTGATTATGTTGCTTAAAGGAAGCACATTTAAAGCAAACAGTCTATGGAATCTACATGTTGATCCAATCTCTGTAACAGAATCTTATGATCTGTGGTGTTTAAAGCAGCACTAAGATACAGCAGGACGAGTATCGAGAGAAGTTCATGAGTTTATTTGTTATTATTAGTAACTTTTAATAGTGCTGTTTCTGTGCTGTGATAGATTCTAAATCATGACTGAACATTTTCCAACAAACCATTACTGTCTTAGTAATCACACAGCTGGTTAGCAGCAGCTTTTTCAAGGATTTTGGTCTTTAATTAGCTAAAACTGGGCAATATATGCAAAGGTTTAAAGTACTGCTACCTTATAAGACTTCGGTACATCGCCGATTGATAGAGATATAGTATATTAATCTGATTTAATATAGAACTGTTGATAAGAGGAAAAATGTCCTTAAAATTTCTATTTGGGATAGGGTCTAATAGAGAAGTTGATACATTTGTACATCAACTTTGTTCAGACATCTCTTGTGTCCATTGAGAAACCATCCTGAAATACAGTATGCATTTCAAATTTTTGAATCTATTGTTTATATGCTGTGCCTACAAAGAGTTAGAGGCCAGAAGATGCAATATTCTGCAGTATTTTATAAGCATTGAAAATCAATCAGAGAAAATCAATTATTAAATAATCTTAAATTAGAGGAGGAAAGACTATATCTCTCACCTCTTGTTAATGATCTTGTGACCTCATGCTCTCTGCTAGCCCCCAGGCTGGGAGCCACTGCTGTAAAATATATTAACAATTAATACTTTGTATTAGCTGCGAGGTAACAAGTTGATATGCTTGCAATACAAGATTTTTGTATGTGTGCGGATGGATGTCTCTCTCTCACCAGGCAGTGAATCTAAAGTCCCAGCCGGAGTTCTTACAGTCAGTCTGGAGCTCTACCCTCCTCTCACAGAGACTCTGAGCACTGATATCATCAGCACACAGGTCAGCACACTGGAGTCTCTCTATATCTTTGTCTATTTATTCATCAGCTGTATCAGGTTTTAGCAGTTAAGGGAAAAACTCATCAGCCACTCAAAGTGAATGAATACAACTGAAGGCCTTTAATATTGCTGAGATTGGATATAAAGGCTACATTGTAAAAGGTCTATATTTACTGCATCATGTGACTGTGTGTTTCTCATCCAGCAATCCCTGGAAAGAAAGAGGACAGCAGAGAAGGAGAGGCTCTTCCTGGTTTATGCCAAACAGTGGTGGAGGGAGTTCCTTGAGATACGACCGTCGCACCAATCCAAAATGGTCAAGATATTTGCGCAGGTTCATCTAAGTCACATGTTTGACTGAAATTAATAATTAATTTTCACATAATTTGCCAATTTTTGAGGACATGTACATGTCATGTATGTCCACACACTTATGAGATAGTTTCTAAAAAATAGCAAATTAATTGCAGTTTTCACAGGTTTAGTATGTTAGTGGTTTGGGGCGAGACTAACCAGTTTATCCTGAACTCTCTTTGTGTGTCTGTGAATTATGCAGGATGAGAATGGCGTCAACCGACCAGTGTGTTCCTATGTGCATGTCCTCCGGGTGGGGCGGCTGCTGGAGACTCCTCGACAGGCAGCCCGTTTCGTCAGCCTGCTGGCCCATGAGAAGGCTCCTGTGGTGGGAGGAGGAGGGGGCGGGCAGGAGCAATGGTGCACATTAATGGCTTTCCTATGCCGAGGGAAGGTAAGGAGAAACAGACCTCTGAGATCTACAGTGGTCAGCCCATTTTTTAGAAGACAATGCACTCTCTGTAATGGCATCGTCGAGAACAGTGGTCGCCAACCCATTGATCATGAAGGACTGGTCGATCTTGACAGTCTTCCCTGCTCTGGGCTCACTGGCTGCATGCGTTTTCTCTGCGGATCAGTTGTTATTGTTTATTTGAGTACGCAGGACTACTTTTATACAAGGAAATAGTCATTTTTATTCCCATAATCAAGGCAATGCCGATAAGTAAAAACATTGTACTGCAGTAGCAGCTCCTCTGCAGAAAATATTGTTGAACTGAGAAGCTAAATGTGCATTGAATAGATGTTGTATATGAATTGATATTACTATATTACTGCCTTTCTTTGTCTATATTCATGCTCGTACATTGAGCCTTTAACAGAAATTGCAAAAATAATACATATGTGTGGGTTTTTTGGAAGATATCGGGGTAGTAGATCTCGGCTTACATTTAGAATTAAAAAGGTTGGTGACCACTGATCTAGAGAAAGGCATCATAAATGGTTGTTCCATATCAGTGTCCCTGTTTAACTTGGCAATGAACATGCTGGTGAAATCAGCAGAAGTGGATGTAGAGGTCTTCTGTCCAGGTCGGGCATCCGTCAACCCCCGTTTAAAGCTTTCATGGATGACTTGACGGTCACAACAGCATCAGTGCCAGGATGCCGATGGTTCCTACAGGACTGGAGAATGTCATAACTTGGGCTAGGATGAGCTTCCAGCCAGCCAAATCCAGAACCTTGGTTCTGAACAAGGGAAGAGCATGTAATAAGTACCACTTCTCTTTAGGAGGTGTCCAGATTCCATCAGGGTCTGATAAGCCTGTGAAGAGCCTGGGCAAGATCTTTGACTGCATCCTGAGAGAAACAGTGTCAGTCTAGTCAGCCTGCATATACCGTAACTGGCTCTATGGATCTATCATCATGGTATACTGCAGAGACTCTGGCCGCTGCTGATATACAAAGTCCCAGTGACCATTGTTGAGGGCTTGGAGCTTATGATCACCAAGTGTGGCTGGGCCTGCCAAAAAGCCTAGACAGCATTGCCCTTTACTGGCACACCAACAAGGTGCAGTATCCTTTCACCAGCCTAAATGAGGAATCCATGGTCTACAAAGTCAGAGAGATACTCCTCTACAGACACCAGCTGACAACAGAGTCTCCTCTGCAGGTATCTCAGTCAGAACTGGGAAAAAGGGGAGGGTGCAGGAGGCAGTCTATCAGGCAGAAGCAAGGCTGAGACATCACATCGTGGTGGGCATGGTGGCAGCAGGACGAACCGGACTTAGCTGCCTCATTAGACCTCGGTACGACAAATCCCAGGGGAGAGAAACATTGGCTGATCCAGGGGGAGATCCGTGCAGAGGAGGACCATGGCAATACGCAAACAGGGAGCTTGGAAGAACTGTGATCATCATATAGCCGATGAAATTAAGAGATGGCAGAACATAAGAAATACAAAAGAAAAAATAGCTCATAATAAAACCTCTGCAAATAAAACAGGTGGGGGGAGGGCGGTGGAAGAGATGCCTCTGACCAATATTGCACAGGAGATGAGAGCTGTGTCATCTGTAGCACGAGTGCTCAGGTGCGACACATTGTAGCACACACAGAGCAGCTGTATCTGGGCTGATGATGACCAGTGCCCTGGCAAGAGAGGGATTCTTTTTGCTTCTGTCAATCCAAACATGCTAACAGAGCAGAAAAAACCCTGCCGTCTCCTCCTCACCACAATAACTGCAGCCATCTGTGCGTAATGCTGTGTCGATTAGCACCTTCCTTTCTAGATGCAGTCTACCACCGCAATTATTTTCAGGCTTTGTAAATGACAATACGTGTTCTAAATTAAAGTATTTGCATCTACTCCTCCCAATGTTTTGCGCACTTGGATAGAAACGCAGTACAGTACAGTTTGCCATTCATACACACACATTCATACAGCGCATCTATTAGCAGCACTTTTCTATGAGGGGCAATTCGGGGTTCTGCTCTACCCATCAGCCACAGCCACCCGGTGTATGATGATCAAAGACCCAAAACACTGTATGAACCTGGATTCATCACTGATGATGTGTCCAAGTTGCACCAGCTAGTGTCTTAAACTTGTCAAGACTTTGTTGAGACATTTATTTTTGAGACATTCAGTTGCAGTGTCAGCTGTAATATTATTGCTTAATGTAAATAACTATCTTGTCTGTGGTGTAGTGTTTGAGTGAGTGCCAGGCAGTCATCCAAACCTTCCTTTAATAGTCTTCATGTAAGTTTAAGTATAATCTTTCCTTAAAATTTCTATTTGGGATACGGTCTAATAGAGAAGTTGATACATTTGTACATCAGCTTTGTTCAGACATCTCTTGTGTCCATTGAGAAACCATCCTGAAATACAGTATGCATTTCATATTTTCTAATCTATTGTTTATATGCTGTGCCTACAAAGAGTTAGAGGTCAGAAGATGCAATATTCTGCAGTATTTTATAAGCAGTGAAAATCAATCAGAGTATAATCTTTGCTTTTTTTCTGCTATGTTATAGTTTGGACACACAGTATCTAACAGTGCTGCAGTGCCAATTGATGATACTCAGTTGCAGCATTTGTCTTTGCACTTTGTTTAGATGATGTTTGGAGATAACTGGATCGGTCCCTGATAAAAGGAAAGCAATCTTTAAAATTAACCAATTTTTATTTCCATCATTGTTAAACTCAGTTCTGTGAATAGATTAGATACATTATTATTTGTATATCACATTCTATCTGCATAGCACTTTCAGCAATGCTCAAAGACACTTAACATAGTACAGAAAAACAGAGAAAGCAGATGCAAAGTGAATAACTATAAATATGTTATACACATCATAATTACATATTTCGCCTTTCATCCAAGAGGCTGCTTCAGACCAGAAAATATAAAAAGCTATGTGACTCTACTTGAAGTTTTGATCACTGCATTCATGAATTTGTAGTGTTAAAGTTGGAAGAAAAGGATTAAATAACTGAACTGTTTCTGGTTTTGCTCCAACAATTCGCACAGAGCCACATAAACTTGGTTTTACAGTGAATGCATTTCTGAGTATAGCTGTTCTGCCCTCTGGTAAAAGTTGTGATTTGCCTTTTAATATATTTCATTAAAAAAGGGAGTTCATAATTCATGTAATGTTAAAAGTACCTTTTTACAGCTAAAAAAGTGATAATATTACATTGCTTTGCATTATTTCATGATGTACTCTTATTTTGAAGGCTTGTAAGAGATACGCTATGCAATACGGGATAGACACAAGTTGTTGTGAACAAGCAAAGCTCTGATGAACATGATGGAGGTTTTTCCTTGTGTCTTAAACTTCTCCTAGACACCTTCGAAAGCAATGGCTTTTTTACCATCAAAGTCTTTCACCTGTCAATTGAAACCGTAAATAAAGGAGCAAGGCGCTCGCTTCCTGGCTCGTGAAAACCGAGTTTGGCTGGCTGTTTATCTGCGTTAACATACTGGATGTATATAACACGTAGTGGGAACAGTACAATAGCTGATTGTGTCATTTCTGAGAAAGGAGAATTTGTTCACAGTTGACTGACTGATGCATTTTCATCTCCTGACTTGATAGCACAGAATTTCCCAGACCTCCACGGGATAAATGTTTCCTGCGTCTTCTCTGTGAGCGGCTGGCAAGACAGACAAAACACAACTCTCACAAAGTGGCCCCTGTCAGCTCTGATTTATGACTTTCATTCCAGGGAAAATTAATTTAGCCTCATCCCTCCCCAGCCTGTTCTGATGCTGCCGTCCATATTAGCACTTCTGAGGAGCATTTATCATTCTGACTTGCCTATAGCTTGAGCCAGCACATGGCAGCAGCAGCAGCAGCAACCACTTGCTCAACCCAGGCCCCAGAAAAGTCAAATGCAATTGCTTACAGTCATAGACAGTTTGATATGTACAGAGCTTATTTCCTCTCCTGCAGACCGTTCTTGTGTGTTCAACACTTCTGTGAAAGACAAACAATGCAGTGAGAACAGGACATAGTAACTCTGTTAAAAATGGACAGTTGTAGTGACATGATGAATCAGACAAGCAACAGTGAAGGAACCAGTGAATCTGTTCAAATTTGTTAGAATATCCAGTAATTAAACTTTGTGTTGTCAACTTGTCACAGTGTAAATAAGGAATTTGTCC